TGTATGAGGCAGGGACTTGCTTGTTTGGTTGCATGTTGTTGTTTGTTGAACTGCTGATCGTGGGCTTGCGTACCTTGTACCTGTGTCTTGCATCTGTCATGCTCATGCCGTGACCGTTTTCCTTTCTTTTTGCCCTAATGTATATTTGCCTTTTCTTTATTTTTCTTTTTTTTTATCGAGTTTGTTTATTGATCTATGGATATATATTATATATATATATATATTATTCATTTGTTTAATGTATGCCATTTATTCTGTCCTTGTTGAGTTGTGGTTCGTGTTGATAGTTTTCTTCATTGTGTTTACTTGTTGTCTCTTGTGTTTGTTGTGTGTATTTGATTGCTGTTAATTGTTAGTTGTCATGTGTTCCTTCCTTCGTTTCTGGTTTTGTCAACTGTATAAAAAAGGTTTGTGTGTGCGTGCTTACTTTTTTCCATTGTGTCGTGCTTTGTTTCTTTCGTCCGTTCGTTCGTTCTGTCTTCCTTTCTTTCTGCCTCTCGTTCTAGTTGTCTGTGTTTCTTTCTTTCTGTTTGTCCGTCCTTCCTTCCTTCCTTCCTTCCTCCCTCCCTCCCTCCCTCCTTCCTTCCTTCCTTCCTTCCTTCCTTCCTTCCTTGCTTCCTGAGGCCACTGTCACGTCCAGTTCAGCGACTGTTGTTCGTTCTAAATTGTTTAAGGAGCAAGCACAAACTTGGCAGCCTGATCCTAATCAGAACAAGGCAACTCTCTCCCTGAGGTCCTGTTTTTTCTTTGGGGATGACCCCTTTTGGTGGCCAAAAATAAGTTTGGACTTCCTGGTCAATCCGGCAGAGGCATGAGAGTTCACATGCTGAGGAGGGCAAATCAGAGGCCGGGGGTTCAAGCCTCAGCTTTGGGCAAATTTGCCGGGCCATGCAGAATTCGTGTGAGATCCAGTGAGATTCGATCCCCCAGATTGCGCGCTGGGCTTCATAGGGTAAATGGGACCATGATAAATGTGGATGGCGCAATTCCCCTCATGTTGGCAAGTTAGGAGGGTCTTGAATCCCACATGTGTGAATTGGGCCATCTGCTTTCACTCAACTGTAACCCTATTGGATACGGCCGCCCGCCCTGCCCGATGTTTCTGTTCGTGCAAAGATCGCAACTCGCCAAACACTCCGATTCAGCTTCTTGCTCAAAGATAATAGGCCTATGAATTGGCAATCCTGTCATCCCATGCTCCTTCAAACTCATCAAATCCCCACTCACTTCTGAACCAGACGCTTGCTTTTGCTGGTGTTCTCGTGGTGTTTGGCCACCTGGCTGTTGGGACACCTTCCTTTTTGGTGGTGCCACGCACTTTCAAGATCTCTCAGCGCTTTCTGCCGCGCTTTCTCGCGGCGATGGGCCTGGCGGCGTGGCAGCGAGACTACGGCGACTTCAGCTTCTGGGCGAAGGAAGGGGTCGGCGAGCCACCGAGGAAGGCGGTAGGATCAAAGGGGACCGAATGTTGACCCTGGATTCATCAGGGCTCCTTAAAAGATACACTTTCCGCATTTAAAGCATGGTTTTTTCCACCAACATAAAGGACACCATTTACAAAGCAACTGAGGAATGTTGACCCTGGATGAATCAACCCCTGTTTATAGGGGGGTGTTCCTGGTTTTAGTGGGGATTCGGACCAATCTGTGGTGCATTTTGCCCAGGGACGTTGGGACTTTGACTTTTTGCCAACTCATGGGTTTGCCATTGAACCACTAGAAGTTATTTTTTTTTAGCAGGGGAGCAGAAAGCAACCGAGGAATGTTGACCCTGGATTAATCCCTGTTTATAGGGGGTGTTCCTGGTTTTAGTGAGGATTCGGACCACTGCTGAGGAAAAAACACACATGATAATACACAGGGGTTGTTTAATCCGGGGTCAACCTACTGAGGATGGACGAGACCCGTTTCGCACCGCCGATTCATCTAGAAAAACCAACAAACGTTATGGTCTCAAGCAAGCATGGTTTGAAAGTGGGGCAGGATTGTATCCATCCACATGGATACATCCAGTACACCACCAGCACACCGGGCTGGTTTCTAATCAGCTGGTAACGGTTGGCTGTCGGCTCAGGGGAATGGATGGGACAGTTCGAGCACGTTTTCAGCTCACGAAGGTGAGCCGATTCCTCAAGCAATCCAGCGTTCCATGGGATCAAAATCTGGCGGGAAGGGGGGAGGCAAGGTAGAAAGAAAGTTCAGAGTCTGGCAAAGGATAGCATTCAATGAAGGGAGATCCATCCACATTCCTGCTTCTACATCTCTGATGGGCTAGGTGTCCCAATTGGGTCTCGGACTCCCAAAGTGGCGGCGTTCGGTTCTTTAAACCAACCTGAACCCTCCGATCGTCAGCTTCCATGATTGTTTGAGGCAGGGTGCCCGGAAAGAATCAACGTGCTGCGTCAGAACCCTTCGGAAGGGTCCCGAACCCGCTGTAGATTTACGTAGTCGTTGCAATAGACAAGAGTGGGACTGCACCCTGTTCCAGTTTCATCACATGTGCATTCGTGTCTTTTGGTCACTGCATTCGAAGCGCCACGGCCTTCGTGTTTGTGGCTCCAAAATGGCGCCGATCGAAGATGTGCTAGATGAAGTTGGCATCTTCGACAGGGCTCCTTACAGGATACATTTTGCCCATTTGAAACATGGCTTTTTCCACCAACAATTAAGGGAAACCACCATTTACCAGGCAATGTTCAGGTGAAGAAGTAAGGATCCCTGCTCGATTTGAACCGTTCGCCTTTTGGACCCTTGCACGTCCATGGTGGCATCGGACAGCTTGAGATCTCCCAAGCCGCCCAGGCTCATTGGTCATGACCCAAGTGTCATGCATTTTCAGGCAGCCGTTGAAATCCTTGTTTTTTGTTTCTTGGGTATTTGAACTTTGCCAAGTCGGAGGTGGGGGGTTCAAGAGACGGCATCGCAGTGAGGTTATGCCATCCCTGCCGGAGCTTTCATAGCTTTCGTCTATGTTGAGGCGGGCGGATCGGGACGACAGCGAGTCACATTTGAGAAGCCTTTCTCCCACAAAAAGAAGCAACACCTGTTGTGTGGCCACTGCGGAATACCTTTAATATCTCGCAGTTTACCGTGTGGAATATGGTTGATTGACTTGCGACATTTAGGGCATCCATGTGAGGGCGCACCACTGCACAGACCTAGTTTCAAATCCAATGGCCGGGATCTTCGGGCTGTGGCGCATGGTCTCTCGGGCTGTGGCGCATGGCTCAGGTGCTCTTCCTCAAGTTCACCGGCCATTGGGTGAATTGGCTGGCAAGCCGTTCTTCCTTTCAACTTGACCCAGGATGAACAAGCTTTCTGGTTCATGTATCAGGGTGCCCCATTCAACAGGGTATCACGTGAAAGCACGTCTCTAAAACCAAGGACTCTTTTGGAGGTGGTATTGGGGGATGTCCCTTTACAGGTCCAAAAGTGTCCCAAGTATATAGGTGAAGTTTACTGGGACATTCTGCCTGTGCTCAGCAAGCTAAAAGATAGTCGCATGGCATGTTTCCTGAACCCATATGATATGTTTAGCATGTTTCCCCTGAAACGGTGGCCTTAAACATCACGGTTTGGGCCAAGATGGGTTTCATTGTGGAGAGTCGACACCCCAAAGCTTACACTGCCCAAAACAAGCAGCCTGAAAATAATTCAACAGAACAATCCGCCTCGAGCCTCTGCGGATGCAGACTCTCCTGTCCTACAGCTCCTAATAGATGTTGTTCGCAGTTTGAAGCAAGCAGCGCAAAAAGCCAAAGGGAACTTTCCGGACGGGAACCAGTTGTGTGTACAATGTTTTGAACAAGCCCGCGGATGCTCCCGGAGTTTGGTTAGAAATCCCTTTGGCTCATGTGGCTTGGTCACTCTCTTCGTCACGGCGCCCAAAAGAGCTATGCAGAAGACTGGCCGAGGACGCCAGCGTATCAGCATGACCAAGGTGACCTTGCAAGATGCATCGCTGGCAATGTAGACGGCTCCTGCGCATGGCATCATTTTTTTAGCGCCATCTCGCATGCTATTTTCAGGGCAAGAAGGGCGGGCATGGGCTAGCGGACAGGCTCACAACTTAGTACATGCTGAGCTAATCGGGCCCATTTAGGAGCACGTGCAAGCATGTGGACCGGTACATTGCGGGGCCGCTGCAGGCACTCCTCAGAAGGATTGGTTTTCGGGCCAGAATTTGCATATTGTCCGGGGGTCGTGCTTACAAGAAATTATTGTTCAAACTAGTTACCGGTTTTCAGGAAAAGAGGGATGTCAAAGAAAGAGGAGAGTGACTTTTGATCAGTTCCGAATGGCATCCGCTTGAGCGGCAGTAGCCACGGGGTGTTGGTCAACCATTCCATGTGAGAACCCATGGCGCGTACGCTAGCTCAAGTTGAGAAGGACATCAGCGTTTTTTGTGGACATAGTTTAGCGTGAAGTGGGTGTTTATTCCAGCCGTTGGCCATCGCGAGGCAAGATTTAATTTGACGCGCGGCGTGTCCACGTCACTTGCCGTGTGTTGTGGATATCTTCGACTGAGGACGTGATAAGGGGACAGATTGTCTCCTATGGTGTTCTGGCATTGACGAGTCTTAGCTGCAAGGAGACTCGGGCAGGTCTAAGTGGCATGTTATCCCAGCAAATGCCAACGAGCATGTGATCCCACCACATTCCAAAGAGGCCAGTTTGTATTTGCCTGGGCAGTATCACACATTCAGAGTAGAATCAATGATTCTGCACTTGCTTTGCTCAGCTGCCAGGCTCATCGTAGTGGTCACGACCGCCTTCTGGGCACTCTTCAACAGGCCTGTGAGTTCGTGTGCAAATATATTGTGGTATTACATGCTCGTTGGCGCTGCTATATCCAATTCAATGCATTTGCCATCATTTGCGTGGGCTTGCTTGTTGCTTGGCAGTCAACAAAGTCTGGTCAAGATCTGTCATTTGCTGTCCTTTGAACTCGTCATTGGAGTCAGGATAGAGCACTTCCTCGAAGAGGTTTACCTGAATGCCATGGGACGGCGCGATGAGGCAGGGAGTCGAGATCATGAATCTACCATTTGATAAACATACAATGCTCTGAGTAGTTTGACTGATACTGGTTTCACCGTATGGGTGTTTTAATGACGGTGGTGTTTATTGTAGGTTTCTCTCTGAAAGTTTTCTTGGGGGTTTTATTTTGTTGGAGCTGAAGCACCCAAATGTGTAGCTGGATCGCACGCAAGGTGACTTTGAAAAGGGGAGTATTACTTGCCCGCCCAAAGCAAATTGACCTTTGAACCCTTTTCCAGATGTTTGCTCTGAATTGCCCCCCCGGACACCAGTAACACAGCACGTTTGGATTCCACCACTTAAGGGGAAGCCACCAGTGCATCCCTTAACGTTTCAGGAAACGAAGTGCGCCCGCTGGGAGAGGCAAATGTCCTGAGCTGAGTGGCTTGCAGATGCAGTTGGGACCCGGGATGGTCACCTCGGCCCCCGCCCCCCCGCAAAGGGCATTGCCGCGGTAGGGATGGTCACATGGTCATCACCACGGGGTTTTGGGATTTTGTACAAGGGGCCATCAAAAATATCCTGCGAAATCCGGAACGCCCAAGTTTTCATAGCGGCCCACAAATGCTACCTTGAATGTTCTTGACTAAGGCGCTACGACTTCCCTTGGATTCTGATGTTCGGTTTTTTGGCCATCGAGCTCGTGCCTTGGCCCAATTACGTGCCGTCGAGTTGAAATACAAATCAGCCCAGACTGATCCCGTGTCTTCGCCCGCGCCCGACTCGTCCAGCTTGCAGATGATTCACCGATGGCAGAGGTGGTACTCAGATCCCTAGGATGCCCAAGCGCAGATGAGGTGGTTCTCGAGTACTATCACCTCTTGGATGACCTCCAGGAGATGACTTATGGATGCAGGCTGAAGTACGATCAAACATGAGATCCCTACCCACCCGTTCTGATACATGTTCCCTTCGTGGGTACAGAGGAATGTCTCGGAACTGACCGCGCTCAACTGGTTGGGCTTGCTTTAAAAGGAAGCTACAGGCAAATTCACTGTTAGTTTGGTTTCAAATTAGACTATTCTAGTTTTCTTTTCTGAGGGTACCTTTTTTGGGTTGCTTAAATGGGAAATCAAAAGAAAGCTCACGTTTTCCTGGTGTCCCCTAACCTTCACAGCTTGGCAAGTCATTTTTTCAGCGGGAGGATCAAGTGGCATCCTACGCCTTCACGGGACTCACAATCTTGGCCATGGCCTCGGCAATGACTTCCTTGGTGGCTCTCAGCCATCCTGTTAGCTTGTCAGCTTTTTTTCTGCTTTTTTTTTAAATCCTGGGTTTCTCCAGTTCACCCACTCAAGTTTCAGCATCTGGTCCATTTAAACCCACTAAAACTGTCCACTTTTGGCGGTGGATCTGAGCCCAGCTTCCACTGAATAGCCCGGGATTCCCAGGGCCTCTTGTTGGGAGGCCTTGTTTGTTGAGGCCTTGAATCGGGTGTGAGGCGGTGTGAGGCGGTGTGTTTGTTTTTTCCTCTGGGTTATGGGAATGTATCCCCCCTGCAAATACGTGTTTGTTGTTGTTGTTTTTAAGCCCTGGGAAAATGGGAAACGGAAAATGGGAAACCCTGGGCAACTCACTTCCTGCGTTTCGTGGGACCTTGGTGACTTAGGAAGACCAGGAGTGGCAAAGAACAAGTTTTAGGAATTGTGTTTGCCAATCCGCTCAGGAAGTGATTTCCACGAATTTACCAACAAACGGTAATTATGGTTTCATGGTTTCAAAGTGGTGGGTACGGATTTTGTCCATCCACAGTACATCCCTTGAAATAATCATATTCGGGTCTGTCCTTTTTTCAGGATTTGGACCAATGGCTTTGGACTGATCCTCTTGGTTTACCATGTTTACCTTTAAAACCATCCAAGAAGGCGCCTCAAATTCAGGAGACACCCAATTTTCCTTTTGGGGGCTTTCCTTGAAACCATCAGTTGCGAATGGACCAAGCTTCCCTTTGAACTTGATTTGAGTAAGCAGCCTTGTGATGTGGATGACGTGCTCTCGGCCATATTAGGTGTTCCTTGGCGCATGTTTATATGATCTAACGTGTTCCACGGGCAGAGTTTGCAAGCACCCGGAGTCATTTAATGAGTCATTCGGATGGCAAACCAGAAATGATTGAGACAAATTGCCAGCATCTCTTGCGATTGTGGCAAACAACTAAACGGAGCGCGCCGATTCCTGGGGGTGGGGGCTAAACGAACTCAAGCCCATGATGAAGGTGTCTTTGGCGTTTGAGTGGCGTTTCACGCCTGGAAGCAATGGGTTATAGTCATCAGTGTCCTTTTTGGTTGGTTTGGTTAGAGAATAGGGTGCCCTGGTTTACCTAGTAATTCAATCACCTACCAGGGCCATCAGAAAGGGACACCCATGGTTAGAGGAATTTGCCCAAGGCTTTTGTGCTGATGTGCTTCGTGGTGGCTTACATTCGCCTGGCTCACCTCTTCGATGCTGTGACCCAGTGGGCAAGAGAGCCGCTCGTCAAACTGATCCGCAAAGGTTTATAGGCGCCCCTATTTTGACACATACCCATAGTTTGCTGTCGAAATGTGTGTGTGTGTGTGTGAGTGTGTGTTCCCACCGGAACGGCTTTTGGGAAAACATGCACTTGGACAGGGTTCTAGTTCTCGAGTTCTTGGTGTTGACAGTTTGCGCAGGTGTTTCAGGAGATGCTAGACTGAAGTATGGCACGATGGTGAGTACAGAAGAGAGGGCGTGGCATCGGGCAGCTGAGGAAATTGGAGCATATTGAGGAATTGGCCAGTGACGTCCAGCAGGCCATTCAGGGAGCATGTCGCCTCTATGGTGTGTGTGTGTGTGTTCATTCATCGCTGAGTGCCTGTGCTGTCAGCTGGCTCATGAAATGCAAGAATGCTGCGCATGTTGGGTTTGTCCCAGAGGCTCCTCCCTTCTGTACCCAACAATCATTCAACCTTAAAGTTTGTGAGTAGCACCGTTAAAAGCAGTTTGAGATGAACGCCATTCAACGGCAGAACAAAACCGTGGCCGCTGAATTTATAGAGCTCCACCTCTGGGTAGGGAGTGTCATCACTAAGATTGCGACACAATGTTGGCCAACCATTGATTTTGCACGGGCTTGGCATCTAGACTTGCCTGAGTCCAGGCCAGGAGGCCCCTTTGGCAAGGCAAAATAGACCCTAAGTGCCCATCACACCGGGGGGGAGGGGGAGGGCTTTTGGCAGATGCTTGTCCGGACTGATCCGCTGCCAGTTTGTTGTGGCGAGGCTTGCTCCAATAGCTGCCGCCGACCCGTGGCGTTGGATTATTGGGGCTGCGCGGGGTGCTGCAAGGCTCGGCAGACTGCAAGAGCCGGGGTTTGTCGTTGTTTGATACTCCCCATATTTGGGTGTGTGTGTGTGTGTGGGTGTTTTTTTTTGAGGCTACCCTTTTTCAGGTCGGTCTAACGGGGACCCAAAAGGAAAGCAACTTTTATGGGTACCCCGTGTGGAGACATACCCATATCAAGATACAAAAAGGCTGTTTTGGAGGCCTCCTGGGACTGGGCGGTTCCATGGCAAAATCAACAGGAATGTATGGTTTGCCCCCTCCATAAATCGCTCCAGTTTCGGTTGCTACAGTCGCATCCAGTCGCAAACACATCCTCAAGAAACGGAGTCACGCTCGGGGCACAGAGCATGACAACTGTAGGAGAGCAGCGGGAGGGCAAAGCCGAGAGCGTTCAGGTCCCCAGGCTGAATTAGATTAGATTTTCCGTTCAAACATCGTCCCACCAAAGAGAAGCTGAATTATCATTGTTACTTGACAAGATGGGAATCAATACACATGCGAGCAATACTGGACAGGAAAAGCAGCCATTGACAACCTTCTCAGTATGCCGAATATGGTTTGCTTCCCCCCAACACTGATTGGTATTTGAGGCGAGTGTGGCAAGTCCACCTTGAGATTCGTAGTTATTCGGCGAGTGCGCAGCCCACGTCAGCCCGGTACTGACGTTGACTATTCTTGTGGATGGACAAAATCCATCTCGCCCCTTCCTAAGAAACCCTGGAATGGTGATTCCCCTGCTAAATACCACCAAACAATGGTTTCGCATGATTTCCACCTGGATTCGTCCATCCATAGTAGCTGTTCATGTGCATCCGTGTTCAGAGACTTCCACAATGCAGGATCCTGAATTGGCTGAGCCTGGTGTGCCTTCTCGCGAATACAGAGGCAAGCGATCTCTGGAACCGTGACAGAGCCACAGTCAGGTGGAGGTGGCAAGTCTTGATAGGACCAGATCTGTTTTTGGTTGCCAGCTTGAATTTGTTTTCATTGGCAGGGCGCTTTGGCTTGTACAGTCACTTGTCCAGGTTTCGTGGTGTTGGCTCGAGAAGTTGGACCTTTTATTTTCGAGTCTTTTCATTGCATTTTGCTTGGATGTTAGGACTTTCACTTTTGCCAACTAATGGGTTTTCCATTAACTCACTAGAAGTTAAAACTTTAAGCAGGGGAGCGGAAAGCAACCGAGTTTTGGACAAGTGAGGATAAGCGCTCAGAGGTCAATGATGCTTTGGGATGGCTTGACCAAGTTAAGCCAGGAGACTCAGTTTTGTTTGTGCACGTGCGATGTGCGAACTCCTGAAGAGTGTTATCCCCCATTCTGAGGCGCCCGATCTTTTCCGGAATGCGAATTTTATGTACAGACCTCCAGCGGTGTTGTGTTTGTTTGTTTTGCTCGTTGAAACGCAACCAAAGACAGAGGATCCATTTACCTGTATGGTAGGTAACCAAGGGAACCACACTCTAAAAGCCAAATGGAAAGTGGCGAAGAGAGCACTGATACAGTGCTAACTGGCTTGCAACTGAGATCTGGGAAAAAACACTTAATGATACACGGCCGCAAAGAATGGGGCGATCCAAGCTGTCGCCGAAGGCGAAGCCGAGAGGTGCATCGATTGCGCGAAAGGACGCTGCAGTTGTTGCTTGTTGTTTTTTTGGCAGGGTGTTCGATTTACCACAGGCTTGGCTATTTGCAAAACATATTAGTTTTAAAGGAGCATGCTTGGGTACACATGACATGATATGTTGATATAGGATATGGTTACTTGCATAGGGGATTCGTTGTTTCCTGTTTGTGAGGTAGGGTTGGATTCCTTTTTGCGTTTTCTTTAGATCAATCCCAAGGAAACGTGTCACTAAAGAGTAGCTTGCATCCATTTGCTGGTTAAATGCAAGCCAATTCATTCGCCGCCTTCGGACCTGGGCGGTTCTGAGCAAAAAACACCTGATGTTTCAGACGCTTCTGAGCAAAAACCCAGACCTCCAGTTTGCTTCTTTTGGGACGAGGGCTCCCTTTAAAACAACAAAAACACCCAAAGCACAAAAACGAGTGCGGAGTGGTGGTTTTTGTTGTCCATGGCCACTGGTTTGGGAAACGATCTTGCGATCTTGGACCTTTCTTGTGGGAAGGTGATTTTTACCCCGATTAAAATTACCTGAAGTTTCTATGACAGCGAATGGTGTCCTTAGCTCCAAGTCATAGTTGTATGACTTGTGACTCTACTTGATAGAGGTCATAGGGCCTCCAAGTAGCAACAACTTCATTGTGTTTTCAAGCATCATGGGTCGATCTCCGTTATGTCTCAATGTTTAGCTTGGTCACTTCGTGCAGGGTCCTTGAGACCCGATTTGGAGCCCCCAAACGGGTGGTGCGCTGTTGAGCAGCCAAGGGAAGGGAACTCTCCAAAGCCGACCCAGGCCCACGACTCCTCGCTGGTGTGACCGAAACGCCCTGAAAGGACCGTTTAAATTGGAAGCAACTTGAATGGCTTTTCCACTTACAAGAGCTCGATCACGGCGTGGTTGCGTTCGATTCGGCGGACTGGCTGCTCCCAGTTTCTGAACCCGTCCTTCCTTCGTTCCTTCCTTCCTTCCTTCCTTCCTTTCTTTCTTCCTTGCTTCCTTCCTTCCTTCCTTCCTTCTTTCCTTCCTTCCTTCCTTTGCGTGTCTTAATGAGCCGCAAGCACCGACATGCGGAAAAAAAACTGTTTTATCCCTATATACGATGGCAGATCATGTAAGCCAGATTAAATGTAGATGTCATTACCCAAAATAATGGGGGTCATTGACCCATTTTTAAAGGGTCATGGAGACTCCGGGGGTATGAATTGGGCCATCTACTCATGGACACCGAATGGAGACTCCCGACCTACCTGGTTGCAACTTGCCAACAGTGCTTCGATGCAGCTTCTTGCTCAAGGCAGAATAAGACCCAGTTGCCCAGTGGTGCCCTTTTTCCTCTTTTGGGAAGGATTCCCTTCAAAGTCAACCAACCAAAAGAAGGATTCCCTTTTTTCCCATGGACATCCACGCCCATGAATGTTTGGCAATGCCTGGGGTATTCGACGACTCGGTGGATTTTTGCAAGGGGTCCTTTGGAATTCCTTGCTGAATGGGGTTCAATTCAGCGGCACCAGCCACTTCTGTGCATCAGCCACTTGGGGTGTTTCTTTGAGCTGAACATCTCGGCTCACTTTTGAAATAGCGTATAGCCGCGGCTTTTTGTGTGTAGCCGTCACCTGCAGTCATGGATGCGGCTTGTCAGCGAGACTGCAGCTTCTTGGCGTGGAACGGAGAGCAGTATCAAATGTGTCAACCTATGGATACATCCCAAAAACCAGCACATGACAAGTTTTCTTTGTTCAAAGTCAGGTATCACCGGTCCGTTTTCTTTCACACGCCCGAATCTTTTTGCTTAGACTTCTAGTGCCGCCTTCAGCGACGGCTATGGAGAAACAGCCCATGATTTTGAGGCGAAGGCTGCGTCGGTTCCTGGAGGGAGCCTGAACCAACCCCTAGGCCTCGGAAGGGAAAAGGATGGGACGCCAAAAAGGCAAAGGGGTAAAATGGTCGGTTGAGTCTGGCAATGAACAAACATGCCAATAAATAAAGCAGAGGTAGCATTCAATGACACTACAAAGATCAATCCACAGTCCTGCGTCCACATCCCTGCTGATGGGGTATGTGTCAAAACAGACTTCCAAAGTGGCGACGTTCCTGTGAGTTTCTGTTTAAACCAAGATGAAGCCTCCAGTCGTCATTGTTTGAGAGAGGGTGCCGCCCCAGAAAGATTCACAGGCTTGTGAATCAGAACCCCCTAGAAGAAGGGCGGGACTGCAACAGGCTGTTGCAGTTCGTTGCATCTCCAAAATGCAGTTTGATGCTGCAAGGCGGAACTGGCATTCTCGGTTTGAACCATTCGCTGTGTTTTTTTTGGCAGATCCATCCCGGCATCGGACTGCAGAGCTGTGGGGAAATCCCAGTCAACGCATCAAGGGCCCAGCTTGAGATTTATTGGAAAGCCGCCCTACGGTGGCCGGAAGAAATCCTGCACCACATCAGTGTGCAGGATTGTCGTTAGTTGCACGGTTCGGCGTGCAAATCTTTCGAAGAACCAAGTCTAAGATGTCTAAGTTGGGCGCGCGAGGCGTGACAAGGATGTTTTCATTTAGGTGGTGCAGGATTTATTCCGTCAACAGGAGCAGCCCAGGTTCGTTGAGGATTGCCACAGCCCAAGAGTTACGCATGTTTGGCGACCTTTGCCATCCCCTGTTTTTGTCCTTGCTTCCGTGGTATGTTCCGTGTCAGCGGGAAGGGTTCAACAGAGCTTGGCAGCATGAGGTTACGCGATCGCTGTCGCCGCCTTCATAGCTTTCGTTTGTGCTGAGGTGGGATGGGACAAAAGCGACGTGTCGGGCATTGGCCGGTCCTAAGCCCTTCTCCCACGAGATTCGATTTGTGGGTTGGGATTGTCTAAGATGGTTTCCAGTTCCCAATCACTACCCCCAAGGGATAGATTGGGTATATGCCCGAAAAAACGTGGTTCCTATGTCTAGGTGTATACACGTCATATAGCAAATGTTTTCCCTGCAGGGTTTGTGGGTAGTGGAAGCTCTGAAAGCCCGGGCCACTCACATTGGCCGTAGTAGTGCCTTGCAGCAAGCTGTGCCTGAAATGCGCCACAAGTGTAGCCCGGGCAAAGGAAAAGGACACTGCAGGCCAGAATGGGCGCGGCCGGCCTTTTGATTCTTTACATGGTTTTGGTGGCGTTGCAGTATTGTTGCTCGCCTTTTGGCGGCCCCATAAAACCAGGCTGCGTTCGAGGTTTTGGGGTGGAGGTGGGCAAGTATGTTCGTCGCGCCAGCTGCAACACGTTTCATGCAGCAGCCACCAACAACGTTCGTGGCACTAGCAGCAACATGTTTCACACAACTGCTGCAACTGCTCCTGATCTCGTTCGTCGCACAAGCAGGAAGACGTTTCACGCAGCAGCCGCCAATAACCTTCGCGCTGGCAGCAACACGTTTCACGCAGCAGCCCTTTTCATTAAGGGCTGTTTCGAAAAAGTGTGATTTCATCTCAAGAATGCTATTTGTTGTCATTGTGGGCCACCCCATTCACACGTGTTGCCTCTTTCAACGCAACCCGCAAGCCCCGAAAATGGGAATAGACAAGCCATTGGTTTTGCATGTTTTGGCAGTTGCAAATGTGGACGAAACTGACGACAGCGCAGGCGCTGGAGAGGTGCACAACTGTGTTGTGTGTGTGTGTGTGTGTCAACCTAAAACGACACCAACATGGTGGTTTTCTCGTAGCTTCCTTGGCAAACCACACACGCCCAGACCAATTGAACACCCTAAATGCTGCAAGCGACTATGCGGAAACTCTGCAATGTACTGTAATTTTGCCCGTGAAGTGCAGAAGAGCCGGCAGGCGAAGTTTCAATGAAGTAAGAACTGTAGTTTGGAACGCGCTTCGTTTCCCTTGTTTTTGTCTCTCTCCCTCTTTCTGTTGCTCTCTCTTTCTATTTCTTTCTTTCTTTTTTCTTTCTTTCTTTCTTTCTTTCTTTCTTTCTTCCCTTTCTTCCCTTTCTTTTCCTTGGTTCCTGCTTTCTTTATCTTCTGTTTGTCTTTATTTATTTATTTATTGATTGATTTCCTTTCTTCCTTACTTCCTTCCTTCCTTATGTCTTTCTTTCTTTCTTTCTTTCTTTCTTTCTTTCTTTATCTCTTTCTTTCTTTCTTTCTTTATGTCTTTCTTTCTTTCTTTCCTTTTTTCTCTCTTTATTTCTCTCTTGATTTATTTATTTATTTTTTCTCTCTTTCTTTTTTTCTCTTTCTTTCTTTCTGTCTTTTTCTCTCTTTCTTTCTCTCTTCATTTATTTATTTATCTCTTTCTCTCTTTCTTTTTTTTA